CACTAAAAGCAGAATTATTGGATGTGAATTGTATTAAACTGGGATATCCATGGGCACGATGGTTCTCAAACACAACTTCTATAATGTGTGTACATATATGCAAGCACAAGTATACATATATTTACAAGGTTTCACACCTGTTGGTACATATATTCATATTACTAAAGTTTCTATATTACAGTGACTTTTCATATGCTAACTCAATGATAGCTTTCCATTTTATGATTTTTTTTGGATATAGTCATCTTTAGTATCTGGATGGTTGTTCATGAGGTAAGTAACTGAGATAATTTGTTTTGTTTCTCATATACAGTGAAAGGATTAATTAACATTAGTAAATAATTCATTTAACCAATGCTGCCAGAAAAATGTGATGTTCACTGTTGTATAGTTTTGTGAAATGTATCTACACATAGATAGCTCCATAATTGCTGAACTACCAACAGTTAATTAGTAGTCTACCTGGCCTCACCTGATTTTCTTCTTCCTGAGTTTACAGGGTTTTTTTTATTTTATTTTCTAGTGCTTTGAACATTTGATGGTGATATTATTTTTATTGACTTTATGATTATTATTATAATGTTATCCACAGTACTAATAGCAATATTAAGCAAAATGAAATATTCTAAAATCAAGGAAAATGGTAAAAAGGTGACAAATGTAGGATTAGTAATTGACATTCTTGTGTTCTAAGCATATGTAATTATGATTAATAAACTAAACTCACTTTTGGTGTGGCATGTTTGTGCATGCCATCTGTGGCTGCATTGGATCAAGACATGTTGCAATATTTGATTTTGGGTTTAAAGATTTTATATATTTGGCTAGTGAATTTCATGCTCGCCACCACCCCCTCTGTGCTAGGAAAAGGTGGGATCCAAGTCACTTATGTCACTAGAGAGGCTCGAACCTCTGAATACTAGATCTCACTGAGCCATTGAATATGCAATGGTTTGGTGAGTGCACACTGAAATTTAATGTAGAGTTAGTGTGCGGTATTCATAAAGCTTTAGTTTCATAAAAACTTGCATGAGATAAAAATATTTGATAAAGAAGGATCTAACTCTTCTTTTATTTCTTCTTAAGGAAATTTGAGATTGTATTTACATCTGGAAGTTCGGTAGCTGAAAGAATTACATATCCTTTGTCTCACATCTCACAGTAAGTCTCCTCAAGGCTCTCTTAAAGCAACATAACCCTTTAGGCTTCTACATTAGTTATAAAAGTTGATTTACATATTTATGATCCAGAGCCATTGACACTTACCTGTTCCTTGTCATTTCCACTTACTCCCAAGGAATTAATGGTGAAAAGCCAAGTTTATCATATAGGAGACTTAGCACATAATGGTAACAGTCCAGTCTTTCTGTATATATTGAACTCTATTACTTCCCTTCTTTGCTCTTGGATCTAGACTGGTGGATCTTAGGTATTCTTATGGTTATTTAGGAAATCGGTTACCAAAGTCTTTCTTTTATTATGTAAATTACACGAAAGATTGCTTTATTACATGTTATACAGAATTTAGGTATTAGCAAAGTGACTGACATTTTCTCTGAAATCTGAAAATTAAAGATTCATTTTGTCTGTGTAGAACATATGATATGAATAATTAATAAAAATAGAGCTAATGATAATAATTGTAATAATAATAATAATAACAATAATATCAGTAATATCAATAAAAATAACAATCGCTTTAACAACAATCAAATGAAAGCAAAAACAACAATCATAGCAAAGTATACTATAGCTGATTCATCATGTAGAGAGAAAGAAAAGAAGACAAAAATAAATAACAAAAAGAAAAGAAAAGAAAACAGACAAATCTACTTATAAGTAATAAAAAAAACAAAGACAAAACTAGTTATGACGCAGCCAGGGTACGTGTGGTGAATACGAGGAGTGTGGTGGTGACGACGGTGGTGAGGGAGGGCGCTGCTGTGACGGAGAACCCGGCAGCGTTGGAGAGCTTGGCTAAGAGCTTCTCCTCGCAGTCGGGAGAGCTCGAGCAAATCTTTTCTTGGGCTAAGCTCTTCTCGTCGTTCCAGGTCTCCTGTGAGGCGGTGAAAAGTGTTGGAATTATTTGTGGCGTTAATGATGATACAGATTTCGAGAGAATGCAAATGCAGGGCAGTGAGGAGAGTCGAAAATGAAAGATGAGGCTAAAAGATGCACGCCCCTTGAAATCTATTTTAGCTGCGCGTACAAACGCTCGCGCGACAAAAACACACTACGCGCGCGCGCGCGCACACACACACACACACACACACATACACACACACACACACACACACACACACACACACACACACACACACACACACACACACACACACACACACACACACACACACACACACTGTGATCAGCATTATAAAAACTCCAATTTCTCTGTTTGTGCTAATTACCTTGATCATGTCGGCGGCTTTCTCCGCGATGACAAGAATGGCAGAGTTCGGCGTGCCCGAAATATGCGTGGGCATAACTGACGCATCCGCCACTCGCAACCGCTTCGTGCCCAGTACCCTGAGAAAGAAGATCAGTAAACAGTAAAAAACCATATTACACTGCATTTGGCGCACATGACCCCCCCCCCACACACACACAACACATGAAAAATCATCCCGGTTTTTATATATGAAGGAGGGGACAGTTATTATCCCTGAATATACAGGTGACATGTGGGTTGTCAATACGTCCTATATTATTATATATTTTGTGTGTGTGTGTGGTTGTGTGTGTGTGTGTGCGTTTGTGCATTTACCCTTGATTTTGACTAAAAGCCCACGATTAACATGAAGAAAAGACAAGGACTCAAACACATCCCTCCCAGTAACCCCCCCCCTGCTTGTCACCCACCCACCGACCCGCCCCAACCCAAAGCCCGATTCCCAAGCCTCACCTGAGCTCCGGATCCACCACCGTCTCGGGGTCGCTGGCCCTCCCCATCCGCGCCGTGCCCAGGGGATGGTAGCCCGTGATAGCCCCGACTCGCACCAGACACGACACGTACTCGTTGTAGAGAGCGCGCGTGTCTTCCCCGCCGCCCTCACCCCCACGCCCACTCTTCCGGACGCACTCGTCGTAGCGGGGGAGGTGGACGGAGGCGCCCAGCTCCTGCATGGCGCGAGTTCGGGTCAGCCGCATCACCCACTTGAAGGCTGAAGGGGGGGTAATGTGGTGTTAATGGTGATATCCGGTGAAACTATATTGGTCATTATGATTAGAGATAGATGACAGACATAATGGTTCTGATAATAATAATAAAACAAAGATACTATTGATAATGAGAAAAGGGGTGAAGGAAATTAATTTAGTTATTAGTACTTTCATATCATTTACGTATGTTACAACTGCCGTAACCATATTCATTAGTGTACGTGTGTACATGTGCAGGTACACACACCACCACCAAAAACGAAGTAAATAAAAAGACCGCATCCTCACCGCCTCCTTATCTCATCCCTTGGACTCTTCTCCTACTTCTCCAACTGCCATTTCTACCCATATTACCCGTTGATTACTTCATAACAGCTTTCCTTACAGCAATGTTATTATAGCTTCCCCAACAGCAGATACGCCCCATTCCATCCAATCGCCCCATACCCTTAACCCTTTCCTTTATTAATGTTCGATTTACATAATTTTACCCCTTCTTTACCCTTCCTATCATACTATCCTCTAACACTATAACCTTGAATTTAACACTCATTATACTAATAATTAACTCATTTACCCTCTTCACCAAAATACTTTACCATAGTGCTATACGACCTTAGATGTCTTGCACATTTGTCTCAACCATTAACTCTTTAACTCACCGTCCCTCATACACGCGAGGTCGTACGGGTGGTGGAGGTAGTTGGGATCAATGGACGGAGGATGCCTTGGGTCGTCGCTCACGAGTCGTATCCGCCCACGACTCTTAGGGTGGAGGCAGGTGGCGAGGAAGATGAAGCCCTCGGAGCTCTGGTTGTCCATGTGCGGGAAGGTCGAGTGGAAGTACTGCGGGGGAGGGAGAGGAGTGAGTGGAGTTTGGAAAGGAGAATGGGAGAATTTTGGATTTGCAAGGAAAGGGAAGTAGGGAAGGAGGATTTTGGATTGGGATTGCACGAGAGAGGTAGGAGAGAGGAGAGAGGGAGAGAGGAGAGGGGGGAGAGAGGAGAGAGAGGAGAAGAGAGAGAGAGAGAGAGAGAGAGAGAGAGAGGAGAGAGAGAGAGAAGAGAGAGAGAGAGAGAGAGAGAGAGAGAGAGAGAGAGAGAGAGAGGAAATAGAAAAGTAGGATCTTGGATTGCAAGAAGGAGAGGGAAAAAGGGAAGTAGGATTTTGTACTGCACGCAGAGGAGCTTAGCAGGAATTTGGAATAGGAGACGAGGAGATAAGAGGATAATTGACTGCGTAAAGGAGTAAGATCTGAGAAGCCTGTGACCACAGTGGCGATTTCTCTTCCACAATTCTAGTCTTAGTAAAAAAAAAGAGGGAGGTAAGCCCAACTTCTGGAAGGAAGGCGGGGAAGTTGCCCCCCCCCCCCACGGCCTCTGGTGATCAGCCAGCGAATGTCCATGTACGTATTGCATACATGTACACAAAGAATTGGTATATTTACGGGCAGAGACGATACAAGGCAGACGTATACGTTTATATAAAATTTGATATAATAAGAACAATGGTAATTATTATTTTAATGATAAAAATAACAGTGATTGCGATACTAATCCAATCACATTAGCACAAAAAAAATGAAAAAATAAACAAATCAACAATAATAATAACAAAATAATATTGATGATACCAATGATTGGAAATACCCGATAAACAAAGAAAAAATAAATAAAGATAAAACGAAAATGAAATACAAATAACGAACTCACGTCAAGTTTCATATTGGAAATGCCCGAGTAGAGGTGGCTGTCCACGGCGCCCATGTTGAAGAGGATCACGCCCACTTCCGGTTGGCTGTGGGCGACGGGCATCACGCCCACGCCCTCGATGGCAGCCCGGCCGAGGTCTCCTGATGGGCGTGAAAGAGGTGTCTATGATAGGGGGTTTTGTTTTCTGTTAGCTTTGTTATAGCTCTTGTTATCTATCTATCAATCTATTCTATCTATCTATCAATCTGTTCTATTTATCCATATCTATATAACAATATATATATATATATATATATATTATATATTTTTTGTCTTTTTGTCTTTCTTTTTCTCTCTCATCTGTTTTACTGACTATGAGTTAATTATATAATAACTAGAAGTACTTAGAGAGCGCATACCTCCTCCAAGGCAATAGGGTCACTGATGCAATAAAAATAGTCACCCTTGAAGAATTACATCAAAATCCCCTAGTATACAGGTGACATCCGTGTTTCCTATCTCGAAATGCAATGAATCTTTCAAAAAATTCCTAAATCCGGATCATGATCTGGATCCAGGATTTTTTTTTTTTCATTATTATCTTTTAAGGAAACTTAAACTGTTTGATGCTTGAATTATTATCATTAGCGAAGCATGGGCTTTCTGGGTGTTCTAGTTATTATGATAATGATAATAATAATAATAATGACAATATTAAAATCACTATTATCATTATCATTATAATAATAATAATGATATGATACTAACAAAAATGACAGAAGTAACGATAATAATGATAAAAAAAAAACAACAATAGTAAAGATAACGAATAAATATACAAGTAATAATACTGATGACTGAAATGATAAAAAAAAACAGAAATGATAACAATAACAACAAACAACAATAACCAAAACACCAACCACACAGACGATAATAACAACAATACCCACAACAACAAAAACAAAACACAAACATATATACCTTTTCCATGTATGAAATAATCCCACAAGTTGCTAATCGTGCGTAGCTTTGCAGGATTCAAGGCGACGGGTTTCTGCAATTGCACGTAGAGCGGGAGGTTGAGGTGGTCTTGCAAATTGCCGCCCACGCCTCCCAGGGACGAGACTTCCGGGATCTGGGGAAATGGGGAGTGTGAGTGGGTGTGGGTGGATGGGGGTGGTGGGGTGGAGTTATTGTCTCTTTTGTCGCTCTCTCTCTCTCTCGAGTCTTCTCTTTCTACGCTTGTTCGCTTTTTTTTTTGTCTGTTTCTTTCTCGTTTATACCTTTCTGCTTATTCTTCTTCATTCGCTATCTCTCTTTCTCTCTCTCTCTTTCTTTCTTTCCTTCTCTCTCTCTCTCTCTCTGATATCGTGTTATCATTTTATTTGTTCAAATACAACCATGCATTCCCTCTTCCTCCCTTTCTTCCTCTCTCTCTCTCTTCCTGCTTTTCTCTCTCTCTCTGCCTCTCTATCTCTCTCTCTTTCTACCTCTCTCTCTCTCTAGTATTTCCATCCGTTATCAAATGAAACTACACCATTTCACCACACACAGACACATACACACACACACGCCCACTCATCCAACTCCGCCTTATACCCACATTGAACTTCTTGAGAACATCCCTGGTCCGACGCCCGAGTAGGTGAGAATGAGCGGGTGTGGATGGCGCCCGCAGACAAGATGACTTCGGCGCGGGCGTAAGCGGTCCGTTGAGACGAGGGTTGTCCCACTGCACGTATTCCACGCCCACGGCTCGGTTTTCGTCCCAGACCAGCTGCAATGCGGGAGGAGTGAGGGGGGGGGGTGAGGGTGCGTGTGGAGGGCGAGGGGGCGAGGGGGGGGTGAGGATGGTGGGTGGGCGAGTGGGGGAGGGGGGGGAGTGTGGTACAGAGGGGGATATACAGGGGAATGTAAGGTATTTATTTCAATAAACGTATATATGTACAGTTGATGAGAAATAGGGAAATGTATTTATTTCAGTAAACGTATATGTGTACGCTTTAGGGGGATACACAGGGAAATACAAGGTATAGATTTCGGTAAATGTACTCATGTACAGTTATAAATTGTGTAAAATGTGTTAAAGCTCAGATGAGAAATTGGAAAAAAATGAAATTAGTTGAATACTGTTGTTAGTAACTTAGTTTACATCTACACACACACACACATACACACACGCACACATACCCCACAAACATATAACCCCCTCCCCCACACACACACGCGCGCACCCGAACACACACACACACCACACACACACACACAACCACACACACACAACACACACACACACACACACACCACACACACACACACAACACAACACACCACACACACAAACCCACCCCTTCAACCACCCACCCACACACACATAACCCCCCCCCCCACACACGCACACCAAACACCAAAATCCCCACACCCATTGGCCGTACTCTGGTCACTTGAGTATGCAACAGCACATGCAGATTGTGGCGACCCATGGCAGGCGAAGGTAGCCTCTGGTAGGTCCCCAACGCCGTCCTTTATACACTGTGGTTTGGGCCGCCATCACTCCGTAGTCGATGTCGTCGTTCAGATTCCCACCGGTAGGCCTGCGGTGGATGTGAAGGAGGATTTGTTTACATTTTTAAAAACGTTTTGTTCTGTGATTTTGAAGTTTTTTTTCATGGTTTAAAAGTTTTCATTATGGGGGTTTATGTGTGTTAGTTTGGTCGTGAAGTTATGGTATAGGGATTAGAAAATTATGATTCGAGTTGTTCTATTGTTTTAATTTTATTTTCTATTCTACTCTCGTCTAATTAGTCCCGAATCTAATAACTTTTCTAGAATATTCCTATCCTTCATTAACATTCCACCTCATTTGATTTCATTTTACATATATTCTCCTTTATCTTTTTATTTATCACATTTCTGAGAGTCATTTTTTTTCTGTTTATCTACAATCTTTCTTTCCCTCCCTCTTTATCTCTCCAAACTCTTTCACTCTTTTATCTTTCCTTTCTTCCATCTTTTAATCATATTTTCTCTCTCCCTTCGTACTCCTATCTTTCTATTTTTTCTCTCTCCATCTCTTAATCTCATTCTACCCTTTAACTTTTTATCGCCTTCCTCCTTTGCCCTCCGTCTTTTCACCTCTTTATCATCATTTTCCTTTACGGTCTCCCATCTTTCTACTTTTCTGTATTCTTCTATACATCTAATTCTTTATTCCAAACGTCCTTCCAACTTTTTATCCTTACCCTCCCTCCCCATCCGTCCTCCCTCCCTTTTTATAAGAACTATTCCTTTCCCTCCTTCCTCCTATCTTCCTGTTTCCCTCCCTTTTATCCTCAACTTCCCTCTCCCTCCATCTTTCCACCCTTTATCAAACTCTTTCCTCCCTCTTTATCATAACTCGCCTTCCATCTCCTCCTCTCTATCTTAACTCTCTCAACCTCTCCCTTCCTCTTTATCGCAGCTCTCCTTCCCTCTCCCTCCCCTTTATCACAGCTCTCCCTTCCTCTCCCTTCCCTTTCATCATAAATCTCTCTCACTTTCCATTCTCCTTTATCACAACCCCTCGTCTACCTTCACTCTCTTTGTCACTCCTCCCTCTCCCTTCCTCTTTATCACAGCTCTCCCTCCCTCTTTATCACACCTCTCTCTTCCCCTTTATCACAACTCTTCCTCCCTCTCCCTTCCCTTTATCTAATCTCCCTCCCTCTCCGTTCCCCTTTACCACAGCCCTCCCTCTCTCTCCCTTCCCCTTTATCATAACTCTCCCTCCCTCTCCCTTCCCCTTTATCATAACTCTCCCTCCTCTCTCTCTCTCTCTCTCTCTCTCTCTCTCTCTCTCTCTCTCTCTCTCTCTCTCTCTCTCTCTCTCTCTCTCTCTCTTCTTCCCCTTATCACAGCCCTCCCTCTCTCTCCCATCCTCCATACGAACCCAACTCCTTCCCAGCCGAGAGGAAGGCTTCCGTCAGAGGCGAATCAGAAGTCCGAACACGTAACGGCGGGTCATAACACTGCACGGCGTCCTGTTGGCTGCGAATGTGCCCGCTGGGACCCGGCTTCACGGGTCCTTCTCCACAGCCGTCAGAGGATTTTTGCTGTTGCTCCGAAGGGCCGCTGGCGGTGCACTGGTCCTGCGGGGGTGCGGGTGGGGAGGTAGGGGGAGGGGAGGGAGGTGTCGATTGAGAATTTTTATTTCTTAGATTTATTTTTATTTTATTTCATTTTATTTTCTACTATGTGTGCGAGTGTTGCTGACACTGTTGTTGTGTTTTTTTATTGTTGATTTATTGTTGTCATTATTATGCTATTATATTCATCGTTGATATCCCTAATAACAAAGATAACATCATCCATATCAGTACTATCAATATCAGGATTGTCGTCATATATTATATATATATATATATATATATATATATATATATATGTATATATATATATGTATGTGTGTGTGTGTGTGTGTGTGTGTGTGTGTGTGTGTGTGTTGTGTGTGTGTGTGTGTGTGTGTGTGTGTGTGTGTCGTGCGTGTGTGTGCGTGCGTATATATATCCACTACTACTTTTTTCTTTATTTATTATTCTTTGTCATCAGTATCCACATACATTTATTTCCACACCTGGAAAATACGAAATACAGGTACATCCCGAACTAATCCAGAAACAGAATTAGTAATTACAGAATTCATCGATATTACGTTGTTTCTAAAACAGAATGCAGTCTGGTAATTTAAACAAGTTGCCCCTAAAATAGTGAGACATTAGGCTGAGTAAATGAAAACGGAAATGCATAGTCGGATACGCGGAAAAGTCATTTAGGGAAAGTAACGTGTTTCTATTAGAACAATGTATTTTTATTTATTTTTTATTATTTTTTTGAGGAGGGGGGGGTCTGGTTGTGTGAATATGGGTTTGTGGAACGTAGATTTTTTTTGTAAATAAAAATTATCTGTATTCAAGCGGTGGGTTTAATCATTCCAATGCAATGGATTATGTTCATTATTATATTCATATTTCTTCTGTTTTCATTCTTTTCATATTCTTTGCCACGTAGACATTTTTTTCTGGAATAAAATGTTCATGACAAACGCACTCACTTTATCCTTTTATGTTTTTTTTTTATCTATCTTCGTAATGATTATTTTGCATTTTTTTCACATACACATGGCACGTAGATTTTTCTATACCAAAACCGTTATGTGTAAATACAGTTACACTGCCATGTATTTCATCACATTTAAATATTAATCTATCTCATATCTTTCATCACATGTCACCTCATCTTAAATCTACTCTCTTAATCTCTAATTCATGCTCACACTCACAATTCAAAAAAAAAAAAAATCGAATCATCCCCATTTTTAGAAGAACAACGCACGTACCTTAAAGAGTTTAGGCCTGAGGCGTCGACATTCGGCCTTATTGGAATACTTTTTCATTTCGGGGAATCCCCAGCCGTGGCGCCGAACTCGCTCTCCATGTTTGGAAGTCATGTGGCGACCCGAACATGTGGATATTGTAATTAATTGTTCCACTGCCTCCTAGCACCTTCCCGCGAGGCCAGGCGGATTGCTGGAAACGAAAAGTGGGTTGGGAATGGTTTAATATCTGTTTGGGTTTTTGTACCTTTTCATTTATCTGTTTTTGTCTTCATCTCGTCCTCCCCTCTGTATTTTCTTTTTTTCTTTTTTAAATTTTTAGATTTTTTTTTTTTTTTTTTTTTTTTTTGTTAATCGGAACTTGGTGGGATGAGTAGGGTTTTTTCTTTGATTAGATTTTGGTATTAAACAGCATGTTTAAGGAGACTAAGTATTTAAATATATTAATATTGTATCAATATCAATAGTAATTCAAATTATTGAATACTGATTCACTACGGGGTATATT